ATTTCTCCAGAAAGACGTGGATTGAGATCAAAAAGATACCGTCCACGATCATTCTCAATGATCTCAAAGTTCACTATGCCAAAGTATCCATTTCGGTGAAGAAACTGTGCAATGGGAATCGCGAACTCGTCATAGACAAGTCTTTTCTCTTTCTCTTGCTCGTCCCAGTCCACGATCAAACTGCTGAAGTTCAGGCCATCAAAAAAGCTATGATTAGAACCAAGCCATTCTAATTCACATGTTTTTGTTAAGTAAAAGAGATGACTTGTTATTCTGTTGATATCTTCTATAAGTTCCTGATAAATGATCTTTTTACTCCAGCCATTCACCTCACGGATMTTTTTAACAAGAGCTGTCAAATCCTCTCTGCTCTTTGCTACAAAGGTTCCTTTTCCTAGATAGCTAAGATCAACTTTGACAACACATGGAAACTCCACGTTATCTTCATCCATGTGACGGGGATGAGGAACGCCTATTGCAGGGATTGAACTTTTYAGCTGTACAAACTGCAAGRCATCRGGRTCAACGYTGTGTTTTGACTTYGGAATATCTTGAAATGCACCAAAGGTAATGATAGGAATGCCATCTTCTTTAAGCCCCTCGTCTGTGCTGATGAAATTGGGAAGAGGGAAAACAGGCAGCCATGTCTTCCAGTGTTCTTTCAGGAAGTCTGGTGGTGGATAGTCGGTTAGAACAGGGATTTCAATGCCAGTTGTACAAGACAGAGCTTGTGGATAAACAATGTCTCTGAACATTTTAGAGAAAGGTGGAAAATCATACAGAAGATACTTGTCTTTGTTTAAATACTTGGAATTTGACAGGGAAGAAGAAGGAAATACAGGGAACAAATAAGCCTTTTCCATGTCCTGTTTGAATAACAGGCTCAGAGTTACAGCCTTCGTCGACATGTTTCMGACGCTAGACAGTAAAACACACAATGGTCCTTGCACTTTCATCACATGAAAGATTTCGCAACTAACCCTGACCCTCAGCCAATCAGAGGAGGAATGTCAATAAGCTTTCTCCAACTGAATGATCAAAGCATAATTATACAGTCAATTGTTTTATATATATGAAGATATGATATGAAGAAGGGAACACAGGTAACAGAAAGGCCTTTTCCATGTCCTGCTTGAATAACTGGCCTAGAGTTAGACATAGTACTTATTTTAAAGTTATTGCTCCTAACTTTAAATGCATGAATGACTTCACAAGACCTCAGTTATTTGAGAAAGGTAATATGCTAATGAGCTTTCTTGACAGTCATGCTTCAGTCCATTTCGTATTTTGTTATAATTATCGAAGAATACAAAAGGTTTATATTAAAATAAAATAAATATGAATAAGCAAAATTAAGAAAATTCTAAGTAAGAAGTTACTAAGCGAAGCAATACTGTAAAATATGCAGTTACAAATGTCAATTGACAAAAGCGACATCGATRACAAAAGAACTCGAAAATTCATCCTGTTGTGTATGGTTTCTGACCTATAGAGTATTCGCACTTAAGCGTGAAACAAATAGTACTAATTACTACTAAATAGAGTWGATTATACAATAGGAAACAAAGGAATTTGTATGATTTATCACCTATTTTGTAGTATTTATATTTCCCACATTWAGTGCGAGCGCTCTACAATTATCCAAGCATTTATGAATTATACAAAAAACATTTTTATGGATAGAACCAAGTTCATTTTCATGTCAACATAGAAAACATACATAAAGACTTCAAAAATGTTCTTGACATTTAAACTTTCTACCGTGAAAATGTATATGAAAGGCTCAAGTTGTTTAGCTGTCCACAAAATAATCAATGGACTGAAATACATTCATTATAAGTCAATTATTAGTGTCCAACTTGTTCCAAAGAGCTTGGCAATCTTCTTTAGTTTTTCCAAATATCGATATATGATATACGTATTGCTTTTCGTCACACAAAGCAGATTGGATGATCACTCTCCCGTCTTGTACCTGATTTAGCTGGTTTGCAGTTTCAACTAGTTTCGCTGCTGATGTGTTCCCACGAATCAARCGTWTTGTAAGGTGTAGTTCAGAAATCAAAAGACMCAAACTTGCCATGTACGGAGCTATCAAATGATGTGATATTTCTCCAGAAAGACGTGGATTGAGATCMAWAAGATACCGTCCACGATCATTCTCAATGATCTCAAAGTTCACTATGCCAAAGTATCCATTTCGGTGAAGAAACTGTGCAATGGGAATGGCAAACTCGTCATAGACAAGTCTTTTCTCTTTYTCTTGCTCGTTCCAGTCCAAGTTCRTCGTGATGTTAAGGCCGTCAAAAGTGGATTGGTTAGTTCCTAGCCATATTATATCAGATGTCCTCTTCAGATAAAGCTGATGGCTTGTTATTCTGTTGATATCTTGTATCAATTCCTGAAAGATGATTTTACCAGTCCAGCCATGCTTCTCTCGTATTTCTCTAATCAAAACTGTTAACTCATCCCTGTTCTTTGGCATGAAACATCCTATACCTGCATAACTGAGATCAACTTTGACCACACATGGGAACTCCACGTTATCTTCRTCCATGTGACGGGGATGAGGGACGCCTATTTCAGGGATTGAACTTTTCAGCTGCAACCAATGCAASACATCAGGGTCAACGCTGTGTTTTGACTTGGGAATATCTTGAAATGCTCCAGTAGTGACAATAGGAATGCCATCTTCTTTAAGCCCCTCGTCTGTACTGATGAAATTCGGAAGAGGGAAAACAGGCAGCCATGTCTTCCAGTGTTGTTTCAGGAAGTCTGGTGGTGGATAGTCGGTTAGAACAGGGATCTCACTTCCAGTTGTACAAGACAGAGCTTGTGGAAAGACAACATCTCTGAACATTCTAGGGAAAGGTGGATAATCAAATACACGATACGCGTCGGCTTTGTTTATAAACTTTGAATTTGTGAGATATGAAGAAGGAAACACAGGGAACAGAAAGGCCTTTTCCATATCCTGTTTGAATAACTGACCTAGAGATAGCACATTTGCTAACATGTGAGCGTTGCACTTGGAAGTTAATTCACCTGTAATCGACAGTCAATAAGAGGAGGTGGAGGTATATTAATGAGCCCTCTGCACATGCGTGATCAAATCAGAATATGTGCATTGCTTGTTTGTTATTCAAGCATAAATTGGAAGGGAATCAAGATATGGGATTCTAATTGTAACCATGGAAAATGACATGCGAACAGCAKATTGATTCGATCTGCACGCAAAACATACTTCTAAGTTCAAGAAATTTAAAAGATTGGAGTGATTCACTGGAAATGAAACTTTAAACGGTATGTTGCACATAGTTATAAGTCTATAACGCGGATAACGCGACTAATAATTCAAATCGTACCGGGACGTCGAACTAGCTAGCGTAATATTGTACTTGTTGTGATAAAGTGAATTGTGTTGTGATAAAATGAATATTCCATTGAATTTGTAAATGAGTGGTYAAAACCACATTTATCAACAAAGCAATGAATTCTAGATGATTGTCAAAAGCATTATTCGGGGTCCCTGTGTTACAGCTAGTAAAGCATCATGGKGGACTATATAGACAGACTGAAGACAAGGCTAGTCTCTATCCAGCACGCTTTCCCATTAAACATTGCGCAAGAATATTAAGGACTTATCAACGACTACTGAATGTAAAGGCCACATCAGTTTACCGAATTCACAGTGAGGGAACTAGTATTAAGAGGTGGCGATGGCGCATGGTCATAGGTGTCTTCCTGCTGTCTTAAAGGGCGCCGTCACAATGACAATCACCAGCGGTACGTCACAAAGAAACCCCCTCCCTCCCCTCCCCCAAACACACACCCGCCACAACACAGAGAGAGACAAAAATAACTCACCGCGTTACCTAAAAGCAACCAGTGATTAAAACTAGCTAGTTTGATTAAAACATTACGAGTATAACGCACTTTTCTGTCCCATAAAACGCAACATTTGATAAAAGTGAATAAAAAATCAAAACAACTTACCTTAAGGAGTAGTCTACAAATTTCGTATTTCCCTTTAGCAGCTGCTTCGTGTAGTGGAGTGAACTTCCATAGATCTGCTACATTGACAGTAGCTCCAAACTGAAATCAATTCAATGGCCCTATAGTTTATTATGACGTCACATCGAAATATTCTAAGGATTATGGCCTTCAGCGGTGATCAGAATGAATGCATATCAAATAAATTGCACATGAGCAATCTTTGATACATTATATATCAAAACACGATCCATTGAAGTTCTACTTAAGGAGACGATATAAATGGGTTCAAATTTCCATCGTTTTCCGATGCAAACATACTGTGACGTAATAATGAAATGGGGCAATTAYAATACCGGCAGAAAAACAGGAAGATCTTGTGCGGTAATCACCCTCTAGTGCTTTATGAAAAAAATATAAAACCAGGAAAAAGTAGTAAAGTGGTTTGCACTTTTCCTGACTCTTCCACTTTTCCGAATGCCACAAAATAGCAGCATTGAGTAAATAATTTACAGTTGAATCTTCCTATAACATCCTTGTGAAGCGGAAAAAGTGTCCGTGTGTAGAGCTGTCTAGTCCGTCTAATAGAAAGTGTGAACATAGTGTTTACACCTAATTGAAGAAACGTTGTCGGGTCCAAAAAGGTCAAATCATAGAAGCTAAGACCGAAAGGGTACTTGGGAAGACAAACAATTTGGCTAATTTCATACAAACAGCTCTCCAGCATAAAAGACTATCATGCTGTTAATCTTACTAGCTCTACTTGCTTAGTGTACACCCTATATGCAAATGTAATCCCAATTTAGTGGTACTCAAAATCCCTTTCGGTCTTAACTTCTATGAAGTGACCTTTTCGAACACGACTATGGTTTTTCAATTAACTGTACATGCATCGAAGAAATCTAAAATCGGAGTTCTGAATTACAGCTGTCTGTGATTAGGGCTGTCCGCTTGTGAGAACGTCCGCATGTGGAGACTCCACTGTATGCCCATTACCTTGACAAGTAGTTCAGCCACTTCATAATGTCCATAAGAACATGCGTTGTGCAAAGGCACGAGCCNTTTAGTTAAAAGTATTGGTCAACACATTTGTCAAAGGTGACTTMTCGCATCTATTCAAGTCACGTTTACTTTCAAGAAGTACAAAAGACTGCCCATAATACCATCATAGAATTTACAGGTGGCACTACCCAAATAACAAGATTATGTGTAGGTAACCTAAAATGAAGAATACAGCAAAATAGACACACAAAATTTTAATTTTAATGCGCAATTGCTTGCCCAATATCTTAAAACAGTGCTGGAACCGCTACCCTTTGCGGCGAATGACGGTTCTCTGTTATCTACGATTGTCGCGGCTGTACGTATAGCACTGCAATCATCTAGCTCCTCCCAAAATCTCAATCACCGAAGTGGTCGCAAACCCGTTGTATCAAGTTTATCATAGTGAATTTTATATGCATTTCTCTATTTTATTTTCTCTACTCGCTTATTGTTGTGATTGAATGTCAATACAACTCTTTAGAAAATGCTTATGAATTTCATGGCTCTTCAAACATCTGCAATAAATACGTTGAGTTTTTATGTAGATATGCAAAATTATTGTGTTACTATCATCACAGAAAGGTAGTAAAGCGTCACGTTGAAACCAACGCGTGCCTAGTTTTATATCTGACCTCAAAACACCAAAAGTATACTGCAGAATCACAAAGGCGGATACAGCTGAAATTTTAAGAGCCACTTCACATATAACCTTATCGCAAAAATCACATATAGCTATTTATCTTGGCAAGGCTCGAAGAATCAAATCATTTTATATTTTGGCATCGACAATGTTCAATAGTCTATCAAGCCTCATTTACTAATGATTTTATGATGTACAACAAAGGCCACGTGTCAACCCTGCATACCAGGGTTTAGTTGATGGGGACCCTTCTTTTTATTCTGAAGTGGCAGGACCGCTTCAATCAATCAGTTCAGTGCTTACTGAGTCGAGCTCTTAACTTCTGTGGCCTAGATTGTTCTCTTTATATAAAGAGCCACAGTTTTTGTCTTGGCGCTGCATCTTGAAGGTTTTTTTTCGCAAAATATGCTTTATTTTATGATAGAAACAAAATACTTGCGTCCGACCTTTATGGTCTCTAAAACTGCTCGCTTGCAGCTCACAATTTTATATGCCCATAAAGGTCTCCCGCTCATATAGTATATATTACGTGAAGTTCAGCGAATTAATAGACGGATATTCTACGAGTTGCGCGCTTGGAGTTACGTGCATCGAATTAGGGCGCGGGTACAAATAATAATATTGCGCTTTTCTACTTTCATTACGTCATTAATACATGCACAAATTGTCCGAAAGTGTTTGACAAGCTTTTCCAAATATTGATATATGATATAAGCATTCTTCCTCAACACACAAAACGGATTGAATTATGATTCTGCCCTCTTGGACTAGGCTCAGTCTCCAGCCGTCGGGATTTCGTGCGCCCGCGATACTCTCTCCCCTDASGRCTDGGYGCATGGGGTTCGCTATTGTCAGTCTCGACCAATCAGCGAGTGGCCCCCGATATTTTCAGGGGCATATCATTAATAAATTAGCAGGCAGCCGTCGTCGCAGTGTAACAAATTCGTCGTTTGAGATTCTCGTTTTAACGCTCTGAAGTCGTTTAGCTTGGACGAATTTAGAGAAATACAGCAAAAGGCTCTTAAAGAGATTGTTCTTGGAAAAGATGTCCTTGTTATTCTTCCTACTGGCTCGGGCAAATCTCTTATTTTTCAAACAGCGCCACTAGTGTATTTTGCTCGTCTTTCTGGCAGATAATATATCCATTTGGATTATTAAACCGTACACATGTTTTACTTGGGGTAATTTCCATTCCTTTCTCTTTTTTAAAGCGCTAACTATTACATTATATCGCTACTTCGCGAAGTTTTCATTTCACATAATTTCCCGTCTTGTAGCAAAACCTTTTAATACGGCTGTTGTCAGATATTTCACTTCCGTTCACTGAAAAATTCACTTCCGTTATTCATAATATGCTAATTACACAAAAACGTCACGGACATGCGCGRYAMGYTTYGAACCCCATGCGCCCAGCCGTCAGGGGAGAGAGTATCGCGGGCGCACGAAATCCCGACGGCTGGAGACTGAGCCTATCTTGGACTCGATTTAGTTGGTTTCCAGTCCCAATCAATTTGTATGACGTTGCGTTACTAAGCAAAAGTTGTCTGATGGAGTTGAGAGAATGTCAGACCCAAACTTGCCATGTACGGAGCTATCAAATGATGACTTTGAATTTGTATGATTTATCACCTATTTTGTAGTATTTATATTTCCCACATTTAGTGCGAGCACTCTACAATTATCCAAGCATTTATGAATTATACAAAAAACATTTTTATGGATAGAACCAAGTTCATTTTCATGTCAACATAGAAAACATATATAAAGACTTCAAAAATGTTCTTGACATTTAAACCTTTTACCGTGAAAATGTACATGAAAGGCTCAGTCCAATACACCTTTTCAGTTTCTCTTAGGCCTCGACAGCGTGTTAAATATTCTTTTGAATTTGTAGGAATGTGAGCAATGCAAACATTGATATGAGTCACATTTGTCAAATTCAAAAGAATAATTAACTTGCTATCGAGGCCTAAGTGCAACTGAAAAGGTGTATTATCCCAGCATTTATGAATTATACAAAAAAAAAACATTTTGAAGGATAGAACCAACTTCACTTTCATGGCAACATAGACAACGTATAAAGGATTCAAAAATGTTTTTAGCATTTTTAATTTAAAAATTTAATTTTTAATTTAAAATTTTTTTACAGTGAAAATGTATATGAAAGGTTCAAGTTGTTTAGCTGGCCACAAAATAATCACTGGACTGAAATACATTCATTATAAGTCAATTATTAGTGTCCAACTTGTTCCAAAGAGCTTGGCAATCTTCTTTAGTTTTTCCAAATATCGATATATGATATACGAATTGCTTTTCGTCACACAAAGCAGAATTGATGATCACTCTCCCGTCTTGAACCTGATTTAGCTGGTTTGCAGTTTGAACTAGTTTCGTTGCTGATGTGTTCCCACGTATCAAACGTTTTGTAAGGTGTAGTTCAGAAATCAAAAGACCCAAACTTGCCATGTACGGGGCAATCAAATGATGTGACATTTCTCCAGAAAGACGTGGATTGAGATCAAAAAGATACCGTCCACGATCATTCTCAATGATCTCAAAGTTCACTATGCCAAAGTATCCATTTCGGTGAAGAAACTGTGCAATGGGAATCGCGAACTCGTCATAGACAAGTCTTTTCTCTTTCTCTTGCTCGTTCCAGTCCAAGTTCATCGTGATGTTAAGGCCGTCAAAAGTGGATTGGTTAGTTCCTAGCCATATTATATCAGATGTCCTCTTCAGATAAAGCTGATGGCTTGATATTCTGTTCATATCTTCTATCAGTTCCTGATAAATGATCTTTTTACTCCAGCCATTCACCTCACGGAT